GGACCAGCAAGGAAAGCCTTTTTGTTAAAGAAGCTAATTTTGGCAAAACTGACACCTGATTATGATGTCAGAGATTACATGAATATGTTTTTTGATGTAGTGGACAAATTAAAAGGAATGGAAATCGATATTAATGAGGATCTTTTGACAATTATTCTTTTGTATTCCCTGTCAGATGAATTTGAAAACTTTAGAATTGCTATTGAAACTAGAGATGCACTGCCTTCTCCTGAAACTTTAAAAATAAAAATTGTAGAAGAGTGGGAAGCGAGAAAAGAACATGGTAAGAAAGAGAGTAGTAACTCTCTGAAAGATGGTAGTAAGGGTAGTACTCTGCTAGGAAAATTTCAGAACAAAGTTAGATTTCAACCAGGAAGATTTTCAAAAGACTCTTATAGAAATAGAACGGAATCAGTTGATTTCCGTTTCGATGCTTTATTTGTAAAGCGATCGGGCATAAAGCAAAATTTTGTCCCAAAGCAAATAAAAATCAACAAAACGTAGCGATTGCTAAACTAGAAGAAGTAGGACTTAATTCTTCTGTACAAGATGACAGTTATTTTGGAAACTTGTCAATGAAAGATATACTGTGGTGTTTGGACAGTGGATGCACTTCACATATGACTCATGTGAACAGTAAATTTACCAAGTACAAGCCTGCAAATGGAAGAAGTATATCTCTTGCCAACAATTCATCAACTGATGCAAGAGGGGTTGGAACAGTTAATATGAACATTTTAAATGGGAGTACAAATCTAAGCGTTAATTTGTATGACACTTTGTATGTACCAGAACTTCGAACAAACCTGATGTCTGTAGCTAAAATTACTGACCATGGGTATCAAGTTTTGTTTAAAAAAGATGCTGCTTTGATAATAGATCAGAATGGACAGACAAAGATCCATGCGAATAGGTTAAATGGACTTTATTACGTACAAGAGAGTAGTGAAGAAATGAATATAAGCTGTGAAAAATCAAGTCTATTGTCTTGGCACCAACATTTTGGACACTTGAACTTTGGAGACTTGAAAAGAATAATCAATTTAAATATGGTTAAAGGTATTAAAGTGAACACAAAAGAGCTTATTCCACAATGTGAGGTGTGTATTCAAGGAAAATTTACAAAAAGACCCTTTCCTAAAAGTGAAAGAACATCTGAAGTGTTGGACATTATTCACTCTGACATCTGTGGACTAATGAAAACTGAGTCACATGGAAAATCTCAATATTTCATTACTTTTATTGATGATAGCTCAAGATGGGTTGAAGTTTACTTTTTGAAGAAGAAAAGTGATGCATTAGATTCTTTCAAAAAGTACAAGAACAAAGTAGAAAATTTTACTGGAAGAAAAATTAAATATCTTCAAACAGACAATGGAGGAGAGTATGTTAACAGAGAGTTCGATGGATTTTTAAATTGTAATGGTATTCAGAGAAGATTAACATGTAGCGGAACGCCTCAACAAAACGGAGTGGCTGAACGGATGAATCGTACATTAAACGACATGGCAAGATGTTTGCTCATTGAAGCAAATCTTCCTCAAACGTTTTGGGCAGAAGCAGTTGCAACAGCAGCTCATGTTAGGAATAGATGCCCATCAGATGCAATTGATGGTGTATTACCATATCATAGATGGTATAGGAAAATTCCAAATGTTTCATATCTAAAAAAAGTTTGGTTGTAAAGGTTTTATCCTAGACAAGACAAATGACAAGTTTCAATCAAGAGCAAAAGAAGGGATATTTGTTGGTTACTCAGATGTATCAAAGGGCTGGAGGATGTGGTTACCCGAAGATAGGAAAATCATTACAACTCGAGATGTAGTTTTTGACACATCTTCCTTTCCACATGTCGATGCAAATCATACTAATTCGAGCTTTAGGGTATTGCCTGTAGACAGTTTACTCCAAAGACATGAAAAGGTCCAAGAAAATCAAAGAAGTGTTCAAGTTGATCAACCAAAAGGTACTGATGAGAAAAATGTACTTGATGATAGGCAAACATCAACAAATGAAACTAAAGAACATATGTCAAATGAAATGGAAGAGATTGAACATGACGAGCCATATATGATTGATGGGGATAATAATGGAGATGATCACCAGAACAATGATATTAACTTGAAAATAAGAAAATCTGAAAGAAAAACAAAAGGTGTTCCTCCTAACAGACTATCATTAATAGCTCAAGGAAATGTGATTGAACCAAAATCTTGGAAACAATTGGAGAAATTGTCTGAACCTGAGAAAAAAACAATGGGTTGTAGCAGCTCAAGAAGAAATTGAAGCCTTATTAAAAAATGATACATGGGACTTGTAGATTTACCTCCACAGAAAACAGCAGTTGGATGTAAATGGATATTTAAAGCAAAGTATGGAGATGACGGTATGGTTGAGCGCTATAAGGCACGTTTAGTAGCCAAAGGTTACTCACAGAAATATGGAGAAGACTATGATGAAATATTTGCTCCTGTTGTTAATTCAACAACAGTAAGAATTTTACTAACCATAGCAGCGACAAAAGATCTGACTGTGCATCATTTTGATGTAAAAACAGCCATTTTGATGGAAAGTTAGAAGAAGAAATATATATGCAACAGGCCGAAGGTTTTGTGAAATCTGATAATGAAGATAAAGTTTATAAATTGAAGAAATCAATTTATGGGCTAAAACAAGCAGCTCGGGCCTGGAATGAAACACTGAATACAACAATGATGAGCATGGGATTTGAAAAAAGCAATTCTGACCCTTGTTTATATACGAGTAATACTGATGGAAATTATACATATGTAGTGGTTCATGTTGATGACATTTTGTGTGTTGGATCAATTGAAAATGTAAAGAAAACATTTCAAAAACTGACACAATGCTTTGAAATGAGCAACTTAGGAGTTGTTCACAACTACTTAGGAGTTGAAATTGATAAGATGGATGGAGACTTTTACATTCACCAAAGAAGAAAAATAAATAAAGTCATAATTGAACATGGACTGGAAAACAGTAAACCAGCAAGAACACCAATGGAAGTTGGATTTATCAACTCAACAGCTATGTCACCAGATCTGCCAGATAACAAAATGTACAGGAAGGCAATAGGATCACTTCTTTATCTTGCAGTGACATCAAGACCGGATATTTTGTCAGCTGTTGGAATTCTAGCTAGAAGAGTTGAAAAACCCACCCAAAGTGATTGGAATGCTGTAAAGCGAATAATAAGATATCTGAAAAGTACCATTGACAAGAAATTAAAATTAGGGATGGAAAAAGAATTGAAATTGTCATGCTATGTAGATGCTGATTGGGGGGGTGATTTAGCAGATAGAAAATCAATCAGCGGAATGATGTACAAGTTAGGAAACAGCACTATAAACTGGATTAGCAAAAAACAGACCAATGTCACTCTTTCTTCAACAGAAGCTGAATTCATGGCCGCAAGCTTAGCCACTCAAGAAGTAGTATGGTTAAGACTATTGTTGAAAGATATGGGCTTCCCCCAAGAAAATCCTACAGTAATATTTGAAGACAATCAGAGCTGTATCAAGTTTATTGAAAATGAAAAGATGAGTGCTAGAATAAAACATTTAGATATTCGAAAACATTACGTCCGAGAAATGATAAGTAAGAACGAAGTATTTCTGGAATACTGTCCAAGTGAAAATAATCAAGCGGACCTTTTAACAAAGCCACTTCTAGGGCAAGTGTTTAAAAGGTCACTCTTTTACCTAGGACTTTACTAGGCATGATGTTGAGAGGGTGTGTTGGAGTTACAACATCATCCAATTTACTTATTACCTGTTTTATAAAATCATATGTTATATATCTAGTTTTGTTATGATAAAAAAGTAAATAAAAGTTATTATTGTGTGAGTGTTATTAAAGAATAGTTGATTCAATTTTAACAGATTTAAGTTTTTTAGGAAGTACAGGAGAACTTCAAGTAATTATCTGAATCAATTGGGGCCGTGTACGACTTTCGAATAATTGGATTTAACTATCTTGATCGCAATGAAAATTCATGCTTATGCCGCAATCACGGATGATTTTCCTTGACAGTATTGTGACATACATTGCTGTATCCCACTCTTTATGTGTTGGTAAAATGTGTATTATGGAAAAATGGCGATTACAACTAAAAATTTAATTAAAAGGAAATGTATAATTTATTTTTAAAACCAACATATAGTATTTACTATCAACAGCCTTAAACCATCACAATAAATCTTGTCATCATAAATTATTCGTCTATGTAGATGTCTCTCAATTTTTTAGGCATCGGCACTTTCCCCCAGGAAATTATGCCTTATAAATGTGATAAGATGCCAGTCCTTTACACTTCTCAAAATAAAACCGTGATGCTCATTTATGGTGGTGTTCTTTGTTTTGTGCAGTAACTTCCATCCTTTACTCCTTTGTAATTTTTTCTACTGACTTAATTAATTGACGAGGTAGCTGAGTGGTTATCACGCTCGCCTTCAAATCAGAAAGTTGCTAGTGCGAACCCAGAGTCAATTCTGAACTTGGGTGTTATTTTTCATAAATGCCAATGGCGATGAAACACACAAAAGAAAAAGAAATTTGCTTAAAATGTTCAGTTTCTTCCTTTTTATGATAACATTTATTTGAACTGTATCGTAAAAGTTCCTAAACTGATCAGCATGTTGAGAGCGATCTCTTGAGGATTGATGTTAAGCTTAATGATGTTGATAGCATAGCGATGTTAAGCTATCAACTGAACAGGCATTTCCTTATGATGGTCTTGAATCAGCGGATTTTTGCTAATCTCACAATAACGGCTATTTATGAAGTCATTTAATAACCAAAGTTACCACCTTTCCAGGTTAGCGAGCATCTACTGTATTCTTGTTGTTATGATGGCAGGTACATCACAAAATACTTTCCACTATACCTACTAAGCTATTTAAATTTAAACTGAACTGGATTTGTTATTTGAATGTTTTTACTGTCATTAATGAAGCTCCTTAAATAAATGTTGTTTCTAGTTCACCTGAAAAGAAATCCCCCACAAAGAAAAAATCTGTTGAAGACGAAAAAAGTGAGAAAACTCCGAAGAAAGAAGAAGAAAATAAGAAGACTGATTCAGAAGGTTTGTTCCAGTAATTTCAAATCGTGTAATTGTTCAGCAGCATAAAACGTTTGATAATTATTTAAAGCTGCTTAAGACCAAACTACCCATTCATTATCGATGTTATTACTTTTTTTGTTTCACTTTTTGTCTGAAATTTACATTGAACAAGACAGGAGTACATTAAACTCCGAAGCCTCAAGCCCTACCACTAGACCAGCTCGCTCCCTGGTGTTTTCATAGTAATACATTAGAATACAAGAACTATAAGAAGCAAATGCTTATGGGGAACAGTCGGACTGTATTTGGTCGCTGAAATGAGCTTTGCGTGGCCACCGCTAGTTCATTCCCTCTCTCCTCTCTCTCATTCTATACACCGATTTTCTGTCTCATTAACACTGATGTGGTTCGCATCCATTATTTTATTTTAGAACAGTTCTATAAAGACTGCTAATTTTATTTTCAATTTTGCCATTTGCAAGAAGTTATACTGGTACTCAAGATTTTTAAGAAAACCCCTTTTTGCCTGGTGAGAAATATCTTGTTCGGTTACCGTTTCATAAATCAGAAAAAAATGAAAACCTTGCATTGAACTAAAAGTAGCCTACGGTCCCGTCAATCCATAATAATTTCCACAAAACTTAAAAAATGGTGTTTCATCACTAAAAACTGTATTGCGTATGGGCATAATCATCCCCTATATACACAAAAATTGAAATCTTCATAGCTTTAAATGTTTTTATTAAGAGGATTCCACCCGCCGGCTGTTTACCTTGTAAACATGGTCCTAAAAAAAATTAAATAACCTGGCGTTATTACAAAACAAATTGAAATAATAGAAATGAAATAAACTGTAAAATATTCACAAAGATCCAAACCATGCACTGACTGAACTGAAACTTCGTTATTGTTTCTTTAACCCTTTCAGTGCTAGGCCAATAATTTGTATTTCGTAAGACTTTTTTGTTTCCCTTTCCATTAACTGTTATTGAATTTTAACTGTAATGTTGTCACTTTAATTAATTAGGCTAATTTTGAATAATAAGACAATAAGAAAATACAGTATATAACAAAGTGAAATCCCGGTATTTGTAGTAAACATTAAATAAAACTTAGTCTTTGTTGTAATTTTCCTGGTTTTCCTATAAATTTTTATGTTCTGATAACATTGTTTGAAACGAAAATCTCATAAAATCAAAAGACATATAGTTTACAATGTAATATTGAATTTAACTTTGATTTAGTTGGACGAGGTTATCGTAATATAGCTATTTTAGGGAAAATAATGTTTTGCAGGAAAGTCTCAGGAACACATTTATGATCACTGTTGTGTTTCAACTGAAAAATATCATCTAAATAGTCCGTGACTAACTAGTGCTGCTACCTAGTAACGCATTGAACAACCATCTGTGTCGCTATCTGTTAGCAATCGGTGGCGTCAGCTTAAGTACCGGTTTTTGACTCCTCAGTCTTCAAGCACAGATAGCCAAGAAGGCTAGGGCGTGTGTCACTTGGCCAGTGGCATTCGTCTGCTTGGGTTCGATTCCCGTCCTGTGTGGCAAATAATTGGTGACCTGTGTGTTTGTAGCGATATACTACAACCACTGGGGCATAGTGAGGTGTTTGTTCATAATCCTTGGCTTAGACATACACCTCGAAATCATCGGATTGGGCGAATCTTTTAGCTAAGTGGTTGTTAGTGTATCCTATGAACATGCAGGTCACCAATGGCCGTTTTGCTTTTTTATTAAAATAACCTTCCTCTCTATATCCCTTAGAGATTTTTTAAAACAACGATATATCGTTTCATAGCACTAAAAGGGTTAAGTATCTACAAAATAATTTAAAAAATCTGTAAATTAGCCTTTTTCACATGAGATTTTGACTTCTAAATAATAGTTAAATATTATTTTTGCTCCACCCACTGCAAGCTCCGATGTTAAGAGTACAACAAACATACAATCATTGGAAACAAATTAGTTTTAGAATATTGAGAGCTTGTTGTACCGTAGAGGCATGTTCAGGGACATTAGCATGTTTAGTCGCCATGTTTAGCATGTTTAGCATTTAGTCGCCATAAACTGATCGGGTAAAACCCTCTTAAGCTATAAAAAAATTGGAGTACAACCTAGAAATTGTTCAATCCAATCAGCTGTTAACATTCACACATTGTTTTATTTTATTCAAGGGATTATGAATAAAATCCCCGTATCTGAGACTAGTGGCTAGTCCCTGCCCACCTAATCTGTTCGGGAGCGAAAGTTCTACCCTCCCTCCAGCCCAGCTGTTATTTGGAGGCTTCTGATTGGCTGAGGGTACAGTGAACACCATTACCGCAACGATACGGCTTGATGCCATCGGCCTCGGTGGTATAGTGGATAGAGTACCGGGCTGATGAACTGAAAGAGCCGGGTTCAAATCTCACCCGTGGCACTATTTTTTGTCTCGGATTTATTATCAGCAAGTTTGGTTAGGTTATGACGGTTTAATTTTATAATTAAAACATTATAAAATTGAATTTGAACCAATTATAGTTTTGTTTTATGGACACAACTATTTTTTCGATTAAACCTTCATTTGATTTTTCATTCTCAGCTAGTCTGGTTAGTTTGGTTAGGTTATGACAGTTAAATTGTATAATTAAAAAAATAAAAATTGAATTTGAGGCATTTATAATTTTATTTTATGAACAGAACTATTTTTTCGATTAATAAACCTTAATTGGATTTTTTCATTATCAGCTTGTTTGGTTGGTTTGGTTAGGTTATGCCAGTTTAATTTCATAATAAAAAATTATAAAATTGAATTTGAGGCATTTATAATTTTATTTTATGAACAAAACTAATTTTTCAATTAGTAAACCTTCATTATAGTCAATCAGAAGCCTCCAAATGACACTGTTGGCAAAACTAATCTTGGAATAAAAATTCAGCTGGAGGGAGGGTAGAAGTTTCGTTCCCGAACAGATTTGGTGGGCAGGGACTAGCCGCTAGTGTATCTGAGGGGATATAATCATAGATAAAACATACTCCCTTAATAGATTTCCCATCCTTAAGGAACAGCTGAAGCCAATTTGATTTTATATCATATTTTTTTAGTTCTGTCCGGTGCACTGTAGATGTTGTGTTTTGTTTACAATTTGTTTCTTGTTATTTCAGTCATTTAAAACCCCGTTTAACCAAATAAAACTATATAATCATAAACAATAACTCACCCTCTAGTTATATAACCAAACAGTAAAGCACAAATCATAAAATTAACTCTACAATAATGGAAACAAAATTTTGTCGACACTAGCCACAAGTTTCACCGGACATGAACTAGACATGAAAAACAAGCTTCAAAATTTACAATGGGATGGGAAGTCTACTTGTGTTGGTTAGTCTATGATATAACTGCCTGTTAATTGTCTATGCTGATTTGCTTATACATATTTTGGTTTTTTTCAGGTTAGTGTAGAAAGTCAACCGCTTTAACAGGCACGTTACCAAGCATTGGCTAGCAGGTGATCTTGATATTGTTGAGTTCCTCTCAAGATTAGTCGGTCTTTTATGGTTTAAGTTAACCAGTGTGGAATTTTGTATAATAGTGTAATTAATTAGTTCATATATTTTGATGTTTTGAATTTCCCAAAGTCTGGGAAGTTCCTTTATTATGTCGATTGTGAATCGTAAAAGTGGTAGTGTTGCTCTCGATCTGCACAATCATCATATTTGGTGAACTTAAGCCTGCCACTAAATTTCTTTGTTTTGTTCAGTCAGCAAGATATGAAAGTAATTTGTTTCATGTTTTATAAAATATTTTACATTTGTACATTTTTTTCTATTACGTAATCTGCTTACCAAGCCTACTGTTGGTTCCTTACTTTATTTATATATAGGGATGGACGAGATTGGATTTTTAGTTCGAGACGAGACGAGATGAGATTTTTTATTTCTCATAAAATTTCGAGACGAGATCGAGACGGGATTTCCCTTCTCATACACAACGGGAAATGCACGTTCAAAATTTTTACCTGAATTTGTAACATTGTTAGATGACTGTTTAAATACAAAAATAATGATATTAGGCAAGAATATTTAAAATCTTTTTATAAAAAAACATCAGCATAACATTGTTTTCATTAATCACACCTAACTTATTAAAAATGCCTACGATTGGGAAACATAGTGATATCAGTTAGGATAGAGTTAAACTTATCCTAAAACAAAATAAATCATAAAATAAAAGCAATATTAATTTTTATAAAATAGTTACTTGTTTTGACTTTTTATAGTAATAAAACATTCCTCACACTGCTTACACTTAACAAAACTTCTCAAATGTTATTAAAGTAATATTATTAAAATAATTAAAGTAATATTTACATTTAAAGAATTAATTAAATAAGAACACCTTCGCACAGGAAACGCAACTACAACACACTCCTGTATTGCGGGTATTGCATTGACTTTCTGCAGGCATTTTTAATTTTTTTTACTTTTTTATTCTCGTCTTGATAAAAATCTCGGCCAAAAAGAAATCTCGTCTCGTGTAACGAGATTTAAAATTTCCCGAAAATTTCCCGAAATTTCGAGACTTGACCATCCCTATTTATATACTAAGAGTTCAAATGAGCTTTTTATGTTTTATCTTGACTCGTATTGTGTCCATTTTAGTCCATTTGAGCCTTTGAGATTTTGTCCAATAGTTTCTTATGATCACGCTCTTTATGATCTCACGTAAAAATAAATTGTCATGTTTTGCCATTAACTATTTTATAAGTAATTTTTGCGATAGCTTTTCCTTAATAGCGTGTGATTAAACTTTTCATAAAGGAGTTTATTTTTTTAATATTATTAGTTAATTTAATTAGTAAAGATATTTAAGGATTGAGACATGACATGAGCAAATTGATGTAGTAAATTATTCTTGCTGAGTTAACCATTAAGTTAACTCTTCTAAATAATATGTAAAAAGTGTTTGTTTATCATAGGAGTAATGTTTTATAGTAAAATTCCATTTCAATGTTGCATGTTCCA